TTGATAAAGTTGGGTGATAGGTATAGGGTTCATTATACTATTGCTCTCTTCTGTATATGTTGAAAAGTGCCATAACTAAAAGACTTAAAAGCATTATATAAATTTTTAGTTATTATACCAGTAATGTAGAATGCTATTTTTGTACATTCTGGGGAGCACTAGATAATATTGGTGATACTTTTGTCACCCTGATAAAGTATGGTATTTCAGTTTAGTTTTCATTTCTTTAATTATAAAGATATTCAGGATATTTTGAATACTTTTTGACTATTTGTGTTTTCTCTTTCAGTTTTTACTTTAATAAAACTTTTTATTTTGAGATCATTATAGATCCACATGCAATTCTGAAAACTTTAGAACTTATTGTGAAATCCAGTGTTTGTTTTCCTCCACTGGTAATACATCTGGCAGAAGTATAGTACAATATCACAAGAATATTACAAAATTTCTTCATGTTGCCCTTTTATAGCCATACTTACTTCCCTCCTGTTCCCACTACCCCGTTAACCCTGGCAACTACTAATCTGTTTCTAATTTCCATATTTTGTCATTTTGAGGGTTTTATATAAATGGAGTCATATAGTTAACCTTTGAGATTGGCTTTTTTCACTGAGCAATTATAATTCCCTGGAGATTCATTCAGGTTTTGTGCATCAGTTGTTCCTTTTTGGTATGAATGTACCAGTTTAATTATTTGCCTGTTGAAGGACATCTGGGTGGTTTCTGGTGTTTGACTGTTAGAAATAAAGTTGCTGTTATTCATGTAAAATGTAAACATAAGTCTTCATTTCTCTGGGATAAATACCCAGGAGTACAGTTGCTGGGTTATATGGTAGTTGCATGTTTAGTTTTACGAGAAGCTGTTAGACAATTTTGCAGAGTATCTGTACCATTTTACACTCTCATCGGCAGTGTATGAGTGATCCAATTTTAGCTTACCCTTGTCAGCATTTGGTATTACCACTCTTAGCCATTCTGACAAGTGTGTGTAGTGACATCTCAATGTGGTTTTAATTTGCATTTCCTTAATACCTAATGATGATGATTACCTTTTCATCTGCTTATTTGCCATCTGTAAATCTTCAGTGAATGGCTCTTTGTGTTTTTTTTGCTCATTTTCTAGTTGGATTTGTTTTTCTAATGTTTCTTTAACTTTTCTAACTGCTTAAGATAGATACTCAGTTCATTAATTTATTTTTAGCTCTTTTTTAATTTTGTTTTTTTATTTTATTTTTATTATTATTTTTTGAGACAGAGTCTCGCTCTGCTGCCCAGGCTGGAGTGCAGTGGCGCGATCTTGGCTCACTGCAAGCCCCACCTCCTGGGTTCAAACCATTCTCCTGCCTCAGCCTCCCAAGTAGCTGGGTCTACAGGCATCTGCCACCACACCCGGCTGATTTTTTTTGTATTTTTAGTAGAGACAGGGTTTCACCGTGTTAGCCAGGATGGTGTCAATCTCCTCACCTTGTGATCCACCCACCTCAGCCTCCCAAAGTGCTGGGATTACAGGCATGAGCCACTGCGCCCGGCCACTCTTTTTGTTTTTTAATGTTACTATTTAAAACTGAAAATCTGTCTATATACACTCCTCTTGCTGTATACCACAGGGTTAGATGTATAGTTTTTAAAATTATTTACTTCTAAGTATTTTTAAAATTCAATATGATTTCTTCTTAGATTCATTAGTTTTTAGAAGTTTCCAAATGTGGTATTTCAAAAGTTATCTTTTTGTTATGGTTGTTGGAGAATGTGGTTGTAGGATACCAGTTACATGAACGTTGAGACATTCTTTATGGCCTGGCATTTGATTAATTTTTGTATGTGTTTCATTTGTATTCTGTTTGGAAGCAATATTCTGTATATTAACCAGTAAGTCTGTAAATCAGACTTACTGGTTGTGATATCGGTTCTTCTCTAGCCTTAATAGTGTATTTATTTAGTTAGTTAGTTAGTTAGTCAGTTAGTTAGTCAGTTAGTTAGTTAGTTAGTTAGTTTTTTCAGACTGAGTTTGGCTCTGTCGCCCAGGCCTGGAGTGCAGTGGCACGATCTCAGCTAACTACAACCTCTGCCTCCTGGGTTCAAGGGATTCTCCTGCCTCAGCCTCCCGAGTAGCTGAGATTACAGGTGCCCGCCACCGTGCCCAGCTAATTTTTTGTACCTTTAGTAGAGATGGGGTTTCACCATGTTGGCCAGGCTAGTCTTGAATTCCTGACCTCAGGTGATCCACCCCCCTTGGCCTCCCAAAGTGCTGGGATTACAGGCGTGAGCCACCAGGCCCGGCTGTTTTTACTTCCTTGATTGTTTTATTACTCTGATAATATGTTAAAAATTGTCCTCTGTGGTAATGGTTTTGTCAGTTTCTCCTTGTGGTTCTCTCAACATATTTTGGAACTATCTTGTTAGGTACATAAAAGTTTAGATATTACATACATTGAGTAGAATATTTTTCACTGGGTAGTGAACTTTTTTGCTAGTAATAGTTTTTGCCCTTAAAGTTTTGTTTGATACTAATAGAGCAGCACCAGTCTCTTTATTGATTGGTTGGTTGATTGATTGAGACAGATTCTCCCTCTGCTGCCAGGCTGGAGTGCAGTGGTGCGATCTTGACTCACTGCAACCTTCGCCTCCCAGATTCAAGCAATTCCCATGCCTCAGCCTCCTGAGTAGCTGGGACTGCGGGCGTGCACCATCACGCACAGCTAATTTTTGTATTTTAGTACAGATGAGGTTTCACCATGTTGGCCAAGCTGGTCTCAAACTCGACCTCAAGTGATCTGCCTGCCTTGGCCTCCTAAAGTCCTGGGATTACGGGCATGAGCCACCGTGCACGGCCACACCAGTCTCTTTAAGTTAGTATTTGCCTCATGTATTTTATTCCATGTTTTTTACTTTTCATCTTTATGTCTTTAGATTTTTAGATGTGTCTCTTTTGAAAAGCATGTGAACTAATACTACTTCAACCTTACATAAAAATATTTTCCGTGTGTTTACAGTGCTGAAGCTGCTGAAAGATGGCAGAAGAAGTGGTGGTAGTAGCCAAATTTGATTATGTGGCCCAACAAGAACAAGAGTTGGATATCAAGAAAAATGAGAGATTATGGCTTCTGGATGATTCTAAGTCCTGGTGGCGAGTTCGAAATTCCATGAATAAAACAGGTTTTGTGCCTTCTAACTATGTGGAAAGGAAAAATAGTGCTCGGAAAGCATCTATTGTAAAAAACCTAAAGGATACCTTAGGTAAGATATTTTTTATTAAAAGAAAAGCAGCTTTGTTTTAAATGAAACCTGGAACTTAGTTCTTTGTACATAATTCTGGCAGCAGTGTGCATAATTGACTTGAAAAGGCAAGGACTAGGTAAGTTTGACTCATAGCAGGTGTTCAATGCAGAAGACCAGTGAAGGTCATAAGTGTTAACATGCAGTTTCTGTAAATCTAGGCCCACACTCCAAGTCAAGGCAGAGTAGTGCCAATGAGTAGAACTAACTCTCACCTTCTAGCAGGGGCTCTTTGGACCATGAATGACTGTTGGAGTTTAGACTTATAGGCAGAATTGCCTCTTTGGCACCAAGGCAACTTATGTACATGGCACATAATGAATTTTAACATCTAATAACTTTATGTTTTGAACTTCACTTAAAACCCACCATTTTGTTTTTCTATTTGATAAGAGAACTGTGGATCATTACTGTACATTAGCACCTACAGAGCTCTTTTCTATTTTGTTTCTCTTTTTCCCTGTCTTTATTTCTCCAAAGTTTTTGTTTTTTATTTTTACTGGCCCTCCCTTAGGGCCTGAGACAGTGGAGCCCACTTCACACTGGACTTGGCTAAGCTGATAGGAAGGAAATATGCATGGGCAAGGAATGGCCTCTTCTTTAAAAAAGTAAAATAAAAAATTAAACTCTCCTTAGCTGACAGGAAGGAATTGGGAGGGACAGAATTTCATTTTTGGTGTTCAGGCAAACATGCTATTTGTGTAATGGTTCTTTGTCTACATGTAGAAGAAAAGTACAATTTCTCCTTGTACAGGCAGTTTGGGAGAAATATAGCATGACTGATAAATATGAAATACTGTTGACTCACTACTTTACATTAGTTTTTATTTATTTTTTTATGGTTTTTGTAGAGATGGAGTCTTGCTCTGTTGTCCAGGCCAAACTTGAACTTCTGGGCTCAAGCAACCCTCGCACCTCAGCCTCCTGAGTAGCTGGGACTACAGATGCTCACTACCATGCCCAACTTAGTTTTTGTTCTTATTCAACATTATTGTTATTCTTGAATGTTCTTCTAATAATGAAATACAAATATTTAATGTTTTTAACCATTGTAAAACTGCAAAAACTAAAATATAGTACAATTTGGAGTAAGGTATAAAATAATAGATTATCAGTTTCTGAGATAAAAATGTTTCCAGTGTTCTAAAGGTAATAATTAAGTAGATATAATAATGGTGATGTTTAACTGCTGAGGTAACTTTTTTAATACTTTCAAGTTTTGCAATTAAAACCATTATTTTTAGTTTTTCGATGGAAGACAAATCAGAAAGAGATTTTCCTTCAGTAGCAGAGGAGAACAGGGTTAGAATCAAGAATACTGGTTTTGTAAATACTGGCCATTTATTTAAAGCATGATGATTAGAGATATTGGGAGAAATTAAGGTAATTTCTTTCAAGAAAGTGTGCCTCATAGTGGTAAGTGCACAGGGTACTAACATATACCCAGATAGACTTTTTGTTCCATTTTAAAAGGACACTGGTATCTTGGGATTAGAGTGAATGTGACAGTAATTAACAAAACATAGTGAAAAAACTAATAGAGCAAAGGGGGGAAGCATTCCAGTATTAGATATTACTGTATATAAATCTAAAAGCCCATTTAGATATAATTTTTATTATTTGTTAATACCCCAGGGATGCCTTCCATACTACATTCTGATGTTACTGAGACAGTTTTATCAAAGTTTTATCTCTAAGTCTTAGGAAATCTCTGTTAACTTTATTACTGTATTACAGTTATTACTACCTATATTCCAGGGTGCTTGGAAACATTGAGTTAGTAATCTGTAGTTAGCCTGTAAAGAGATGTAAGTCCAGCTTTTGCATTAGGTAGCCTTTTCCCTTTTCTCATAATTTCTGTGCCCCTTTTTGGTAACTTAAATGTCCAGTGTAATTAATGTATTTGTTTCACAATGATTGTGCTGGTGGAGACATTGTTTGAAAGTTGAGAAGGAAAAGGAGAAAACAAAAGGATTAATGCATGAATGTATTTTAACTATAAAAAATACATGTGCTTTAAAGCTTCTTCCAAAATAAGTCTGAATAATAAGGTCGTATTTTTGGCCATGATTATTTACTTGTTATACAGGCTGTGTTATAATTTAGAGGAAAAAAAGTTTTGTAAAGAGAAGCCTCAAATTTTCTATTGCCTGGATGTGGGCCAGGTCACATGGATTGGGTGTGGGAAGTTTCAGTGTTGCAGAACAGACCAGGAAGCTCACTGAGAATTATCCTGAGCTGTGTTAACAAACTGACAAAATAGAACACGGAATTTTTACTCAAAATGGATTGGTTAAACGTCTTTAAAGATTTTTTCAGTAAGTTAATCTGTTTATTAAATCCATTGTTTTCTTGAAGTTGTGAATTAGATTTTCTGCTTTTGTAAATTTAAAGGAAAGCTCTTATTTGGTGGGTTTATGTAAGCTACTATATTATGTTTATGTTATATAAACCAGATGATTGGTGATATATCCAAAAATTGTAGTTTGGACTTGGTAAGTAAAATAATTTTAAAATGTTTTAGCATGAATGTTTTAACAAGTAGAGAAAGGATATAAACCTTTGGTTTGAGTTTGATGCAGTTCTAATTCAGTAATTTTCAACTTAGCACAGACATTTGAAATGAATTAAATAAATTGTAAACATTAAAATCATTAGAAAAAAAGGATTAGGTGAACAAATTTCTTCATCCTCAACTTCTGAATTAACTTTTTAAAAACTACTTTTTACTTACTTTTTTTAGAGGAACAGTGTAAACATAATCTTTAATTAAAACACTAGTAAACAGAGTATTTTTATTTAATGTAGTATTGCTAGAAATTGATGTTTTGATGAATGTGAGATTTGATATTTTGATATGAGTTATGAGAACAGCTGTACAACAAAGAGGAAAATACATAGTGAATTATTGACTGTTACTGAGTTTGGGTCATGAAGTAGTACTAATAATAATTTATAAGAGCCTAATTCTGCTGGTTCTGCTGGTAGCCTCCTTATGATCTTATAGTGAACTTGATTTGATCTCCTTGAACATTTGCTTGGTGTTTCTAGAAAAATGAACAGAGGAATTATTATAGAAGTCTCTTACGCACAACAAGCCTAAGGAAACAAAGAGTAACCTGACAAGACATTCCAGAGAAAAGGGCAAAAGAGAAAAGGAATAAGCACTTTGTTGAAAAAGAATGTTGTAATTGTAATGTGAAGACTCATTTGTTAGCTTTAATGACTCCCTCTGGAATATGTCTCTTCCGTTTACTTTTTGCGGAGTTACTAAAATTTCAGATCTTTGCATTTTCATTTTTTGAGTAAGTTTTACCTTGGAAGAACTTACTTATTTGCTCATTAGTTTATCAACACCTTCTTATTGAGAGCCTACTCCAAGCCAGGCAGAAATCATAGGGTGAAAAACTAATACTAACTTAAGCAGATCTTACATTCTGGTGGAGAGGTATATGATGATTGTTTTTAATAATACAGTGGATTTCACATCTAGGTTAAGTCATAAGTGATGTTGACCATAAATCAACCAGAAATGACATAAAAATAATCCATTGTGGCCAGGCGTGGCAGCTCACGCCTGTAATCCCAGCACTTTGGGAGGCTGAGCACTTGAGGTCAGGAGTTTGAGACCAGCCTGGTCAACATGTTGAAACACTGTCTCTACTAAAAATGCAAAAATTAGCTGGGCATGGTGGCGGGCACCTGTAATCCCAGCTACTTGGGAAGCTGATGCAGGAGAATCGCTTGAACTCAGAGATGGGGGCTGCAGTGAGCCAAGATTGTGCCTCTGCACTCCAGTGTGGGCGACAGAGCAAGACTACATTGCAAAAAAAAAAAAAAAAAAAGAATCCATTGTATCATTGATATAGTGATTCAATATATATCATCAATACAGTGGTAAAATTATTCTTTCTACTGAGTCTTAGGAAGTTGATAGTTAATGCATTTGCAGACTGAGAGTCAGGATTTGAAATCTGTAACCAAAATGTTTCTTTGCTCAATCCCTGCAACAACCCCAGATTTTATTTATTTTGCCAGGCAGTTTGTCAGAGTAGAGACAGGCTGTTCATCTACTTCCTCCCTGAATGGGCTTACAAAGTAGAAGAAACAGAGCATTATGTGCTTCTTGTGTGGTAGCCAGAATATCTTTGAAAACAAAAATTGCACAATGTTTTAAATAAAACAGAATAAAAAATAATTTATTTCGTGTGGATGAAATGAGCAGATGAACATATAAAAATTTAAATAAAAACCCGTAATAGAAAGAATACCATATATTTATATTTAGTATTTCTTAGTTCTGTTCCCAGATATCACTTACATGCCATGTGGCCTGCAAAATATAACTGAACTTTTGTGATTTTCTGTTCCTTGTAAAGGAGAGAGTTGGGCAAGACTAAATGATCCTGGAAAGTCCCTTCTAACTCTAAAAGTCTTACATCCTTGTAAACAACTAAGCAGTCTTAGGTGTGTCATAGGAATTGAGGGAAAGCAATGAGGGAGAAATTGGTTTTGAAGAAGTAGAAACATGGGAATGGAATTGTAGTTCACTAAGGAATTAGAAGCAGCAGGAAAACTTTCTTTGGCCCAATTCTCAACACTTACTCAGTGATACAGATGAAGGAAAAACGACGTGCTTAAACTAAGGAATACTGCAATCGCTAACTAATAAGTACACTAGGTTCAGAAATATATTTGGAAACTAAAATTAAGATAGAAATAAGATGAATAAGAACAGACAGTATTGTAAAACTCTACATTAAAATTTTAAAAGGGATTGTATAGATTGGTGAGAACCTAGCCTGGCAGCAGCTTACATGAGTAAAAATCTTAGTAAGAGCTGCTGTGGTAATGTTGGTACTAAAAGTCTCAACACAGTCCATGGTGACACTGATATGAGTATGAGAGGTGCTTAGGTGGAGGTATACTCCCTTATGTGTGTGTTGGCCATATAAAACATGATGTAATTAATCCACTTTTGATAGATATTCTTTAACAATGGTATTGAGAAACTTGGATGCTTCCAAATACTGGCATCCAGTATATCAAGGATTTGGAAACCAGGTCACATAAGGAATACTTATGGACACAGAGACTTGCCTCAGGGAGCACAGCTGTCATATGAAGAAGGAATGTTCACAGTGCTTAACCAGGTTCTTAAAAATTCTTGGGGAGTTTATAATACATTGTTCTGGTTAAGAAACAGTGCTATAGGAAGAGAGAAGACCAGTGGGTCGTAGTGAGGGAAAGGTCAGAAATTATCCCTAAACTTTTTTTTTTTTTTTTAATTTAAGCGAAGCTAACAATAAAAAACTGCCTCAGAATTGTGCACTTCCTCAGTGCTTAGATCTGAGCAATTTCCTTCCAACTACAGCCAGGTCCAGCTATATAATGCAAGAATAAAGATTTAAGTAATTTTTTTTTTTCTTGAGGTGGTCTCACTCTGCCACCCAGGCTGGAGTGCACCAGTGCCATCTCAGCTCACTGCCACCTCTGCCTCTCAGGTTCAAACGATTCTCGTCCCTCAGCCTCCCAAGCAGCTGGGGCTACAGGCGTATGCCACCACGCCTGGCTAATTTTTTGTATTTTTAGTAGAGATGGGGTTTCCCCATGTTGACCAGGCTGGTCTCGAGCTCCTGGCCTCAAGTGATCTGCCTGTCTCAGCCTCCCAAAGTGCTGGGATTACAAGCCTGAGCCACCTTGCCCGACCAAGTTTAAGTAATTTTGAAAATTAAACACCAGAAGCACTAGAAGGTAGGAAAATAGTAACCACCATTGATGGAGTTCCTGCTATGTACTGTAAGTGCTTTACATATAGATTAAAAAAAATTTTTTACAAGCATTTTATGAATTTATTTTTTTACACACCACCATTGTACAAACAAGGAGACTGGAGTTTTCTTTTTTAAACTTTTAGGATTGGGGGTACATGTGAAGGTTTGTTACATAGGTAAATACATGTCATGGGGGTTTGTTCATATTATTTCTTTCTTTCTTTTTTTCCCCTCCACCCCGAGACCGAGTCTCATTCTGTTGCCCAGGCTGGAGTGCAGTGGCGTGATCTCAGCTCACTGCAACCTCCGCCTCCCAGGTTAAAGTGATTCTCCTGCCTAGGCCTCCCGAGTAGCTGGGATTACAGGTGCCCACCACCACGCCTGGCTAATTTTTGTATTTTTAGTAGAAATGGGGTTTCACCATGTTGGCCAGGCTGGTCTCGAACTCCCAGCGTCACGTGATCCATCCACCTTGGTCTCCCAAAGTGCTGGGATTACAGGCGTGCATCACCGCGCCTGGCCTGTTGTACATATTATTTCATCACCCAGGTATCAAGCCCAGTACCCAATCATTATCTTTTCTCTTACTCTCCTTTGCCCACCCTTCCGCCTCAAGGGGGAAGTATTTGGTTTTCTGTTCTTGTGTTAGAAATTGGAGTTTAAAAAAGATTAAATAATTTGACCAAGATCACAGAGCCAGGAGCAGAACTAAAATTTTAACTTGTATCTCCTATTAAAGTTCTCATAGTGGATCTTTTATTACTAAAGAGTAGAGAATTGGAGTCAAGCAGTGGGTTAGAAAGGTTTGATGCAAAAAGGACTAGTGAAGGTTAAGAGAATTGTGGTGAACTGTGAGGTCAGGAAGTGCTATGACCTGAGTGTTTGTGTCCCCCAAAATTCGGCACCATCTCAGCTTACTGTAGCCTCCGCCTCCTGGGTTCAAATGATTCTCATGCCACAGCCACCCGAGTAGCTGGAATTACAGGTGTGCGCCACCATGACCGGCTAATTTTTGTATTTTTAGTAGTGACGGAGTTTCACCATGTTGGTCAGGCTGGTCTTGAACTCCTGACCTCCAAGTGATCTGCCTGCCTCGGCCTCCCAAAGTGCTGGGATTACAGGTGTGAGCCTCCGCACCAGGCCATTCTTTTTTTGACATTGTGTAATTAGTCTTAGACATAATGTTTTTAAATATAAGCTTCCAGAGAGGATCATTCTAGGTTTTACTGATCTTTTGCACTTCTTATACCATACAAAACTGTGCAAATTCTGAATTTTCAAAAAAATCATTTGAAACTTAATCTGTATTTTCAGGTTTAACATTTTTAAAAAAAATTTTCCTCATATCATTATTCAGTTTTACTCAATTTAACATTTATTGAGAATCTGCTATGTGAAACAGCCACTGTTGGCTTTTGAATAGTGATGTCATGTGATTGCAGCTTTATAGGAAGATTAGACTGGTTGATATGAACGATGGGTTGACTGAGGGAGAAATTGAATTAATAAGGAAACTAGTTTAGTGGGGTCACGAAAGCTCTGGT